GGTTCTAAAATAACTAACCATTTTCCTATTGGGACTTGGCTGCCTTAAAATGTATATCTAAGTTTATCAAAAAAAAGTTATTGAAAAGGCAAAGACCATAATATGGGTGCAAATGGACAGTAGAATTAGTTCAAAGCCTACTAAATTTCGAAAATACTAAAACTTCTACAAAAACTGTCTTCTAAATATTGCGAATAAAAAAGGTTAGGAATGAGGAACTATAAGAAAGAGTAAGCGAGCAAAAGACGCTATGAAAATCAGTAAGAAAAAGGGAAGATAGAATATTAGGGTACATTTTAACACTGTAAGGGTTAGTTAGAGAAATTTAAGAAGCAGGAAGAGGAGTAAAAAGGATTAGATGTAGTTAAAGATTAGATTTCAGTTGATACTTTAACTCAGGATAAAATGATGATGACGATGATGATGATGATGATGGAATACTGTAGTCTAAAGTAATAATATGACTAGCACACTTTATCTACTTCAGCTGATAATAATAAATTAAACGGTTTTTTATTAATTACAGACCAAGTACTTTTTCCTGTGAAAGTATTGGCTTGCTATTAAAAAGAATTGCACCACATACGAACGTCCTTCTAATTTTAAATAATTTTCACACTCGAATGCTTGAGTAGATTCAGATCGCTTTTTGCCATTCCTTTATTAGCAATATGCTTGTTCGATATCGCGTTCCTTCCTGTAATACAATATCGATGGTATTGCTTTACGCCACAAGAAACCAACTACTTTCTTATTAGGTTTCTGTGTTTTTACTGCAACAGATTATATGGGCTGCGAACTGGAAAAGATACGTGTTACTCACGGTCGCGTATTATTTTACACCACTCGAAATGATAATGAAAACAAAACGTAATGATCACATCATGTCTATATAGGATTTCCTTATATCTTTGTGTTTTTTATATATCACATTTGTACCAGTTGGGGCGGAATTATACACCGGTTGGCCCGGCGTTAAGTTACTCTGCTAAAGATTTCGGTAATTGTCTAGATGATGGCCCCCACCCCCGAAGGGGGATCGAAAGAGAAGGTCTCCCCCACCACTGTACCATAAAAAGTTCGTGGCGGTCTCACCCCCATAAAATGTTACGGGGGTTAGATGGGAGGGGGATCGAAAGAGGGTGGTCACCTCAGTAAAACCCTTATAAAAAATTCGCGTCGGTCTCACCCCCATAAAATGTTATGGAGGTTGAAAGTTGATTATTTTGACAATTTTCATACATTATAATTCAAATAAAATTCAATAAAAAAATTATTTTCAAGCGAGTGGAGGTGAGGGATCGAAAGAGGTTGGTCACTTGAATGAAAGTCGATAACAAAACCTAACCTAACCTATTGATAAAGATATTTAAATAATGGGTAAAGGTCTAGATGATGGCTGGGGGTGGGGGTGATCGAAAGAGGAGATCTCCCCCACCACTATACCATAAAAAGTTCGTGGCGATCTCACCCTCATAAAAAGTTATGGGGGTTCAAAGTTAATAAATATGCCAATTTTTATACATTTTTAGGCATGTAAATATTTATCTTAGTCATTCAACAAAGATTGGATAATTAAGATTTACATTGAAGATAATTAAAATGGATACGCGAAACGCATTTAAAATTACTTATTTATTTGAATTGAAGCTGTGCATTTCTTCTCGTTTTATAAGATTTAAATTTTACCAAAACTTTTATATTAAATATGTCAGTAAGATTATTTATATTCGTTAAATTATTTTTTATAAACTTAATATGTAATTAACAGCAATTTTTTTTAAGACTTTGAAACTCTTAAATGCTCCACATCAAAATGAAATGAAAAGAATAAATTTACTTTCATACTTTTGCTTTCAGATAGCTCAGCAACTACTTAATAATGTACACACTATTTATGAAAATTATTACGAAAATGGTAAAGTATTCGAAAAAGTTATGCCTAAATATGACCAATATATTCCTTGTATGTTGGGTTGTCTAGCACGTAAATGTTTAAAATGCTGTGAAAATGGTGCAAGTCGCTACAAAAAAAATATTGCCCAATTACGAATACAATGTTCTTTTATTTCCTTCACAATGGAAATCCCACGCGATAACAAAAATAAAAAACACTTTTCAATGTTTAATGACATAGACCCGAAGAAACCCATTTACTATTAATATTTAATACTGCAGTACGAACGTCTAACAAAAAAAAATTTATTATTCAGTACAATCTTCTAATTGTTTCAATCAGCGAGCCATTATCATTACATTATTTAGAATACTTTTTACTAATAGCTTTTTATTTAACAATTTAATCGATGCAATCGAAAGGCTTTATCTATACTTAATCTACTTATTTATTATTTTTTCTAGTATTACAAATACATAACCAACTTGCTCATATTTGTAACCAAATTTCAAATTAATTCATCAACTTGACACTGCGAATTACAAAAATTAGAATTGTAAGATATAATGTTACAACCACACTGTAACACTAACGTATTAAATAAATGCGCATGTAAAATATATAATAAGTCGTGACGTACAAAACATAGTAACATTAAAATTACCTTGAATTTTATCTTACACGAGTATTCGATGATGCGTTATACTATAAACTTCGAGGATCTACTAACCAACATTATGTTAAATACTATACCACTGCTTTACAAGAAATGAAAAATTTAAATCAAAAATCTGTAGAAGTTAATGTATGCATATGAGATATTTAAGTATAAATATATCCAAATTTTAAATAGCTTCCTTAATACAAACTTTTACCATGGTTTAATTTTTTTAGGTACAATAAGAAATGCAATTGTTATAACCAATTGAAAATTAAAAATAGTAGCCTAAATCGCTACTGATAACCTCCGCTCCGTGTCTGTAGTCTCAAAGCAATCAGTTCCGCAGTACAAAAAGACACACAGACAAAAAGTGTCTTACATTAGCGGCAACAAGTAACAACCTACTATTTACGTCAATAAAATCCCATCAAAATCATTTCACCCTTTTCGAAAATTAGTCCAGACGGACAAGCGACCAAAAATTTTTTAAGGGTTGTTTATGTATGTCTTAATACCATACAAATAATTAGAGGTATGTCGAGTATCCGGTTTGAATTCGGCACTTTTTTAGGATCCGGCCGGTACCTACCGAAAAATGACGCCGAGTGCTTGACAGTGGCGGGTAATTCTACCAGAGAAAAAAAAAACCAATACCAGCAATAATAATTTAAATAGCATAACAAAAAACCTGTCTAATGAAAACTGGTAATTAAGATTGTATTGGGATAGTTCGCTTGTCCTAATCTATATTATTTATTGATTACTACACTAAATTATTTGTTAATTGGATATAGGTTCTTGCGTTAATTTTTTTCTCGTAAACAGGAATACATCAATATGGCCAGACTGTTATACAACTTATTAATATGATTTTGTCACCTTGCAGACTTTTAGTGTTCATAAACATTATAGGCTCGTTTCAACGGTTTCAACTCAATCCTTTTGATGAAAATCCGGTAACCAAGAATTAAAATTTCATTGGTTTAGTGTTTGAACTGAACTTAATGTGGTTTGGGACTTTGGTGATGGTGGCTTTTACAGGAAAGAGCACTAGAACAGTCATGAAACATTAACCACCTATCTGGTATCCGGTAAAATCACTATTTCTTGAAATAACCATATGAGCTTACAAAAAGGCAGTAATTTTGATTTTATTTATATTATGTAGACAGCAAATATATGGAATTAATTAAATTCACACTTGACAAAAACAAACAATTCTTTTTAATTCGAACACTCGGTATTGCGGATCTTTTCTCGTTAGATCCGTTAGACGCTTGAAACTACTAGCGCTACCTTACGAACTCGTCATTAATTAGGCATAGTCGCGGTTTGGTTTATTGTGCACACACGCCCGTTCAGTAGCGCCACGAGTACAATAATGGCGACACTGTCAGCTGCACTGCTCAACGGTGTCGAAAAAAACATACCAAAATCAAAACGAAAACTCCAAAAACATTTACGAAGTGCCGGTCTGGCGTACATATCTAGAACAGGAAAACTAATTCCGGCGAAAAAAGTTTCAGGTGAGTACTGTCTGTCTTTTGTTTACATTTTTTTAAGTTTTGACAGTCCAAAATTCTACTAATATTAACTGTAGGTATTTAAGTTTTTATTTTACGTTTTGGTGGTTGTTTAAAATTGTAAAAAATAAAAATTCAACGATTGTAATAATTTGCGACTTATACTTTTAAAAAAACATTTATGCGTTTTAACTAAATAAGGAAGAATAGAGTGGCATTTAAAAGTAATTTGTTTTTTTGGATTCTTACGACCTTCTGTATCTAGGTCATTCCAATTTAATGGAAGGAACATTGGCCTTGTGTTGTTTCCTAACTGAATCTCACATTTTTCGTGTAACGATGACGTTACTTTTATCAGTAATAACTTTTAAAAATGTTGGTAACAAAAGCTGTTGCTATATCATAAAGTACGTGTTTACATTTTCCCTATTTTGTTACATTGTTCACAACAAACGCGTGTGAAAATAGAATTAGCGATTTTGAATGGTTATTAATTTTTAAATTTAAGATTATTGCCTCGACATAAACAATTAATAGGAACAATTAAACGGAACATTGCCAAAAAATAAAAGAAATGATCCGTAACATCGTAAAATTTTTTTTATAACACTTTTTAAACTTGTTAAACTGAAAAAGTACAACCTAAACGTTAGGTACGATAACGTGTAAGTTATCGACAATATAATAAGAATTTGATAGCAGGTTTTTTGGAAACACGTACAATAGGCGTTATCAATGTAAACGCCTGTCGGAAAAACACGTGTACAATAATTCCATCCACACAGAAAGATAATGATGTCGAAGAAAAACATTTTATATCTATTTAGGTATGTGTGTACCTAATATGATATATAATGACGATAAATTGCAAAAAAATAGCAATAGTTTACCTCGGCAGGACACACTCCGTGAATATATTTACCTAAATTTCGATTATAAAAAAAAATAAAAGTGCTATCGTTTATATTTACATGCAAACAGATTAGGTGTATGAATGTTTATAAATCTTATTATACATATTCTAAATTTTGATGAGTTTGCATATTAAATTTATTTGCGTGAATATCTAAACATTGGGTAGGTACACCGGTTTAATGAAAATTGTAATGTTGCTCCCTGATAATAGTATTGGAAAATGCGTACGCCTGTACCTAGCAAATATATACGTAATATATATATTACATGGACATAGACAAAGGTACCACAGAAAGGCCTTGCCTCGGGAAAAACCATAACTGCACGATCGGCCATCAAAACACGTTTAAAAAACGTAATGCTATGCGAAGGTCGCAGAAAGGAATATTGTGTGCAGAAACATCAAAACATTTTCAGCAGGTAAACTATACATATATAAGTATGAATCATATATATATATTTTAAACGTATTTACCATACACTAGCGGCGAGTTAAGAACCGAATGTTCGGATATTATACGTATGTATTCTATTACATGCAATCATCAAACGGGGCATCTTTTACTGAAAAAATAAGACGTGGTATAGGAAAATTCATGCGAATATCTTCAGTCATGCTTGTCACATAAATAATTAGGCTTTACTCGCGACTTTGTTCCCACGTTGATGTACTAAATACGTGTCAAAAATCATGTGCGACCACATAGAACTATTTTTTCTGTCTCTCGGAAATAATTTTTGGTAAAGGTCTAGATGATGGCCCCCACCCCCACCTCTGTACCATAAAAAGTTCGTGGCGGTCTCACCCCCATAAAAAGTTATGGGGGGGCAAGATNATTTTTGTCGGGTCATTTTTTGACGTCAAAAATTGGAAAGAAAATGTGGAGTATTTTAAGTAAATTATACCATCAAAGTCAAGCGGTTAAGCCGTCATTTTATATCGAAATGGACCTAGATTCTGGCTATACATCATATAAGAAAAAATGCTCTAAATAAATTAAAAAGCGACAGAAGGCTGGGATGTCATGGTTCTTTCGATACCTAACTATAAGTAAAACCGTCCAGTAACGTGGCAGCACGATAGTATTTGTCCAAATTATGCATTTATTTAATGGTAAGATAAAAAATCTAAATAAATGATGTTGCTCTTCAGCTTTCATTTATAAATTTAAAATCGATGTAAATGAAGCTTTATGCTTACATTCAGCATCTTTATGGATTCAAAATGGCGGACAAGAATGTTTAGAATTTATTATGAGTTCTAGTTAAGTGTGTTTAAATTAGTCAAACATTTTACAATGTGTACCACAGATACTAGCAAGTACTACTAGATAGGGACATACCCTCCATGCCTTGATTTAGCAGAGGTTTAGCTAGACAATTTATTGAGAAATACTAATTTAGTATCTTCCATGGTGATCTTTCGAGTTTAATATCTACTGTTTTTAACTTCAGTTGGTATTGATCAGATTGCACTAGGTGCACACTATGTTAAAGGCGCATACGCACTCTTAAAATAATAATACATAAATAGACGAGTGTTAAGTGGAACAATAGTATGAAGATTCTATACAGTAGGTTCACTCTGCAGCCACGCCCATACATCCCTCTCCTGCCATTGCAATTGTCATTAGTAAAACTTATGATTAAAATACATCACACAGTAATGTTCTACCGTATTAAACGTTTGTAGATTGTGCGTAATTACTCAGTTAATCGTGGGTAAACCAGTCGTAAATTGCATACCTATTTCGATTAGAAATTGTAAAAATACGACAAAAGGTGCGTGAAATGCTATAAAGGCCAGGAATTTGTAAAATTTTATCTAGCTTTAAGCGGTTTAAAAGATAGATACTAGCGAATGAAAAAAGTTTTTATCCTGTAATCAAATCATACGTATCTAAATGTATCTACCCCCTTTCCTAGGTTTAGTTTACCATTAAAATGGACGATCACAAAACAAAATTAATAACGAGAATTTTTGTAGTGCATTAATTTTTTAATTAATTATTACAATAGATAACCTCAAATTAATGAGGAAAAAATGTTGCTGTTGTCATGCCCTCACCGGGAATCGAACCCGAGTCCCTGGCTTTAGAACAACTTTGAGACAGTGAGAATTTCATATGAAACTTTGTAGGGTTTTCAACACATTAAAATGAATTAATTTTCACCACTAAAGATAACCTCAAATTAATGAGGAAAAATTGTTCCTGCTGTCACACACTCGTAGCTTAGTAGTAGAGCAATGATGGGTTAAGGCCGGGGGCCCGGGTTCGATTCCCGGCAGGGTCTTGACAGCAGCAACAATTTTTCCTCATTAATTTGAAGTTATCTGTAGTGGTACAAATTCATTCACTTCAATATAAAGAGGAATTAATTAACGAGCTCATTTGCGATATCTATAGGATAATCAAAGATCGCCAACTTTGATGTAATCCAGATGGAACTAAACAATTGCAAAAAAGTGGGCGGGTTTAAATGACTATATTCGGTATTTTTCATTGTGTTCAGTCAGACCTAACCTAACCTTAAGACATTAGCTTATAATTTGAGAAACGTCGTTTAAGAAACATGACCCCTAAATTAAATGATAACAACTTAATTAAAAATCTATGGACATATTCGATTACCGATATTGTATGAAGAAATACTTCTCCGACTATGCAATAATAATTACGTAAAATAGGTACCTTACCTGGTCATGAGGCATTTTGCCCCAACCGAGCCGTTTGTGTAAGAGGTAGAAAGGAATAAGTAATCCAATTCACAATAAACAGCAATTGTTATTCTCAACACGTGCGGGATGTCATACACTACATAAACGAAACCGCGTCTGTACACACAATTACAATTTTTTATTACAATAGTGACAGTTGCACGCGTTACGAATTAGGACAAGAATAATAATAGATCGCTCTCTGGCTGTACTTATTCAATGTACTTTCGGAGACGACGAAGACGCAACTCCGAGAAGTGGTTGCAGTCACGGTCAACGCGAGACGGAGTCTTTTTCGCGGGCCGCTTTCGACGAATCACAATTTGTATTGCACAAAAAGTAGGCGGTGCTGGATAACACTTGACTCCAACACGCTGCCGACGTCGATTATTATTGCGGAGGATGATAGCGTCGCAAAAATCTTGAATGAGCAATGCGCTCCAATTAATCACGCAATTGAAAAAGTTAATTGAACTACTGAACTACTGAACAGTGAACATAATACCTATATCAGTACTTTCATCTCACTTTCTTACTTACAATTAGATAACATTAATATTCCCTGCACCTAGATTATGCCACATTGCTAAAAATACTCTATGACCACGAATGTATTTTATTATACAGTAGTATTGTTGTCACTGCCTTCTGTTAACTTACTAACTAGACTAGAGCGATTGCTGTTAGAACGCCTACTTTTATTTACGATAGACGTAGAGAATATTGTAAGCACAGAAAAGAGATGTCAGGTAAGAATTGCAGCGGACACTAATAAAGAAAAGGAATAACATTACACCAATTGATGTGTAAGAGAAAGAGATGCAGACAAGCAAAATTTGAGCATGTTGCCCGCACCGGACTTCAAAGAAAGTTCTACATTCTCTGGAATTTAGGAAAACAAATTATTATCTAGGGTCGATTGAAAGAGGTCTTCCTGAGTAAACCACCACAAAAAGTTTGCGGCGGTCACACCCCCATAAAAAGTTATAGGGTTGCAAAGTTCTGTAATTTTCCAATTTTCATACACTATAAAGTCTAATAAAATTTAATAGATTACTTATTATTACTAATAATCCAACATTTATAATATTGATAAAATTAGTAAAGAGCCAAAAAAGCCAATAAAAAAAAATTTTTTAATAGTTGTGTCAAAAGCGATATCTACATTTCTCAATTTCTTTGTAATAAGATACAAATATTTAAATAATTTTTTATATAAATTATTGATTGTTTCTATGTTTTCATTTTCGAATATTCTTTGAAAATTAATATACAAATTACATTTACATACCCACAAGCATATGAAAATCAACAAAATAATAAACTTTGAGCCCCCGTAACTTTTCATGGGGGTGAGACCGCCGCAAAG